AACAGAAGAGCTGCATGTTTTTTCGTGATCAATCATCACCGGCCGTTCCGATACCCTCTTTTTGGGCGCAGACCGCACAATCTTTGGCGCACGCTGATCGGGTCCCACGCAAGTCCTCTCCGTCTCACCCGAATTTGCCACGCCGGCTCGCCTTTCAGCAAAGCACGATATAATTTTCTCTTGCCAGCTTGCCTGCACTATTAATAGAGTATACAATAGGATCGGAAAGCACCACTTTTCAATCAACTCGGCAGGAACGTTGTCAAGGTACAGCAGCAGTGCGATGTGTTACCTATACATAGAGAGCAGATTTTTTTGTGGCACACCACACTACTCGGGGATCAATTCCCCCCCAAGCATTTCTGTCGCTAACGCCGAGAGAGATGTTGCATGCCGACATTTTGTTCCTTTCAAATGATTCCGCCTTCTGGCATCACGGCTTTCTTTCTTTCTCGGAGGTTTATACTACAAATAAGACACTGACACCACCGGCCGGCCCAGGAGGTCCAGTATGATCGAGCAGTTGTCTCTCAGACCCTCGCCGGCCGTGAAGGCTTTAACGCACGCCGGCTGGTTCAGTGTTTTGCAGGAACGTCGAGTTACTGCGAGCACGTTTGTTGCTCTACCATGTTTGTACTTGTATGTTTTACCACGCTGCTGTGCATGTACTTCGAATTCAACGCATGCCCCCTTGCCGTATGAGGAGAATCATTGAAAGGTAAAGGTGTGCATGCCTTTAAATCTCCTGTGCTGTTCTTTGCCTGTCTGTCTGTGCGTTCTGGTCAGTCGAGAGCGGTGATGACATGGCGTGGGGATCGGAGAGATCACACAGCAGGGTTGTATCTTATTATGCAACAAGTATAAGTATGCTATGTTTTTTCTTTTATCCCTTTTGTGGCCCTTGAACGCCCGCTTCTGCCGCATGACGCATGAAGTTTCATCGCACGGCGGGGTGACGGCTCTCTTCCAGGGCACATTTTTCACAGACAACAACTGGGTACAGACACGTTTGGTCTGTACCCGCTTGCTTTTCTTGAAATTTACAAGGGATTCCTCCGGGAGCGTGTGCTCATGAGAGCACAGCGGTGTCAGCAATGATGGAAGTAAAGCGCAGGCAGCAGGACAAACCTACAGAGCAAGCAAGGCAGCTGTTGTGATGAATCGATGAATCCCAATCTCACACAGCAGCTGACATGCTTTGGGTCGAAGAGCCCAACACACCTCACGAAAAAAAAAAAAACTGTATACAATCTTACCCTCAACATTCACGAACAAGACCCCGCGCTGAAAACGGGACTCAATCAATTGGGTATGTAGAGGCGTTGAACGGTAGGTTTAGGTTTCCAAAATAAGACTCAAGTGCCACCGCCGCCTACCAAAAAAGAAGAACGTAAGTCTGGAACAGACTCAATATATGCCCCGTATCCAGCCGGTTTTTCTCCCACTCACCGCTGTAAAGACTTCAGCCCATCCCCTTCGACTGCTGTGGCTGTAGTTTTATCTCGAACGCGTTCATCCAGCAGTCTTTATTTGATTGCATGTAGGTATATGTTGTAAAACAAAATAAGGATGGTGCGGTTCAACAAACGGTCGCACGGCGGTGGTGCGGACCCTCCGATGCTCAGCAAGGGGTATTTCAAGCATTGCATCTTTTTTTCTTCTTTTTTTTCTTGATATGACCACAACGAATCCATCTCTATCATAGAAAAGAGTCAGAGACAGATCAGCAATGAATTCATAGCGTCAGAAAAAGCCACCTGTATGTCTACGATTTCCCAGACAGCATATAGGGACATCTCCCCTGCGGGTAACAGCTCAACGAAACAGTTTGGTAGCTGTCTTGTGTCTTGTGCATGTTTCCCCCCCTCCCTCTTCTCGTTTTGCGGCCCATCCCTCCACTTTTTTTTCTCGTCCTTTGTTTGATGTCGACGACATCTCTCCCTTCGAAAGGCGTACTCCAGTAGTTCACAACGACATACCTTCCCCCCCCTTCCCTCGCTACGGTCGACATGCCCCCCTCGTCCTTTGTTCGAAGTAGACATGCCCCCCTCGCGTCGTTTGGGGTACTTCCGTCCACTTCACTTACCGTCCTTTGTTCGATGTCGACATCCGTCCCTTCCTTGGAAAGGCATACATACTTGCATCTCACAACGACATGCCTCCCTCCCTCCCTCCCTCCCTCTCCCTTGTTTGCGTTCGACGGACTCTGCCGCCCCCCTGACCATCACCACGTTGTCATGACGCCATGGAAGGGCTATGACAGCACACCGAGAAGCTCGGCCAGCGACGGATGCCGCTGCACGCCGACCCAAAAGCAATTAGACGATTACCAGGTAAATGATCAGCTCCGAGACACAGCAGCGGCAGCGCGTTGTACGCGTGTGTACGAGTATAGACCTCGGTCGTTGACGTGCGTTTTTCTGGCGTGCCTGAAGTGCGTTGCATACCACGGTGCACCTCTCTCTCTGTTTTTTCTCTCTCTCTCTCCCACAGGTGCTTTCGTAGTGCCACCACGTTCTCGGTGTACTGCTGCAGACGCAACTTGCTTGCTCACGGAGCCATCACAGAGGACTCGATCGCGTCGAGTGTAGTGTACCCCCCTCTACCCCCCCCCCCCCCCCCCCCCCCCCCCC